AGAACATTGGGAAACATAAAAGCACCAACCCGGAACAGTGTTTTTGTGTGCTTCTAACTCATCCAATGACAGGACATTTCGGAACTGCTGCTTAATAACATCCATGACGGCAATCTTCTTCGAAAGATGCACGGGACGGAAATAGACTAAGGAACGCAATGTCGGACATTTTTTCCCGATTACTGCAATTTTCGGCAGAAGTTCTGCTGATGTTACTAACAGTGTTGATTCCGTCTCATTGATTGCTTGGGCTATTGCCTACAAAAAGTACGACTGTCGAAAAGACAAGATTAGAATCGATAAAACAAATGTAAAATAAGAGAGGATTCAGAATCAGTAGTCCAAGAGAGAGTTTCAACTAATCTATCCAACAGTTTCAGCATCGTGTATGATCCTCATTTTACTTCATTCAAATAGCAATGTATGGATTAGTTATACCTCTTCACCGAGAGTTGCATATACCGTAGCAACTGGTACATTGATTCTGAAGAGAGCGAATACAGTGATAAACCAGTCAGCTCGAGTTTCCGAAAAAATTACTGCCTGAAAGGAAATTTTCAATTTAAAAGCAAGTGAATGTATGAAATTCATTGATAGGAAAACAATAAAAAACTCACCCGATTTATCGGACAATCATTTTCCAGGATAATTTTTAGACCCGAAGCAATTCGGCCAATTTTTTTATGAACTTCGGCGAAGGTTTGCCACTTGTAATTACCCATCACCCACTAAAATTTATATTCTTATAAAAACTTTTAAGATACAGTTATTAATTCCGAACGCACAACATACCTCAAACAGTATACTTCATTCTTATATGTTTTAAATATTGGTCACTTCATTATCTGATGAGAGAAAGCACGTATCAAGAAACATTTCTTGCACTTAATTCAAAAATCAAATCTCCTGCTCCTCACTGAAATGTCAAGAAATTCAAACTTCATAAAAATTTACTTTTTCAAGTATATGTCCATTTGTTTGTTTTTCTTCATACACTTCCAGTAATTCTCGAGTACCTAACGCCGGTTTGTCATCATACAATTTTGCCACATATGTGAACAGTTTATCAACTGTATCTACACCCGGGAAATCTTCAGTGAGCGGACCATCTACATTAATCCATGGGTTATCAGGACCCTTGATTGGTCTTGCCTAAACGTGTAAGATTCAAATGACAGAGTGTGGTGCAGGAAGTATAAATTTTCAATTACGCTGCCGATAAGGATGAACTGATAGTGCCACTGTTTAGTGAGAGATCTCTTCACTGATCATAAAATCAACATAACTGTTTCAAAACAGTTTCTCTACGAAAATGCTGCCATCAAATAGAATGAATTAACCTTTATTCTTTCACTTCGTTTTAATTTAGCGGTGGGTGAGTTGAAGAGCTCGTATGGTATATAGTTTAAGCAATCATATATAAAAAACCATGCACGTAAAAGAAGAATAATCAATTGAATCCATAATGGCGAAGTTCCCTGAAACAATTACTGCAAATGAAT